GCGAAATGGTGTTTTTAGTTAAATAAACCGTTGCGAAATGGTGTTTTTAGTTAAATAAACTGTTGCAAAACAGTTTTTTTAGTTAAATAAACTGTTGCAAAACAGTTTTTTTAGTTAAATAAACTGTTGCAAAACAGTTTTTTTAGTTAAATAAACTGTTGCAAAACAGTTTTTTTAGTTAAATAAACTGTTGCAAAACGGTTTTTTTAGTTAAATAAACTGTTGCAAAACGGTTTTTTTAGTTAAATAAACTGTTGCAAAACGGTTTTTTTAGTTAAATAAACTGTTGCAAAACGGTTTTTTAGTTAAATAAACCATTTCGCAACAGTTTACATTAAAATCATTAAAAAAAACCGTTGCAAAACGGTTCTTTTTAATTAAATAAACCATTTCGCAACGGTTTATATTAAAATATTTTAAAAAACCATTGCGAAATGGTTCTTTTTAATTAAATAAACCGTTTCGCAATAGTTTATACTAAAACAATTTAAAAAAACTGTTGCAAAATAGTTCTTTTTAGTTAAATAAATCATTTCGCAACGGTTTATATTAAAATGATTTAAAAAACTGTTGCAAAACAGTTTTTATTAAATTCATTAAAAACACGTTTTGCAACGGTTTTTTTTCGTTTAAATTGAAATAAAAAATGTTTCGCAACGTTTTTATTAAATAAATCTTTAAAAAACGTTGTGAAACGTTTTTTTAACTTCTGATTTGGATCGGATTCGGACTGGATCAGTTTTATCTGAATTGGATTCAGACCGAATCGAATCAAGCTCATTTCAGATTCAGATCGGATCGGATCCAATTATTTTTGATCTGAATTCAGATCGGATCAAATCCAACTTTTTTTGATCTGAATTCGGATCAGATCGGATTCATCTCAAATCCGATCTGATTTGATCCATTCGAAACACTATCCATAATCCAATGTAGATGATTAAACCCCTACTGTAAGTTCTATCTATATAATATAATTGTGCTAAATCTAACTCAAAAGTTGATTTAAAAGAAAAAATAACAAAAAATAAAAAAAAATAAAAAATAAAAGTAAAAATAAAATTCTATATGGGTTGATTACCCTTGGCTCATTGGTTAGTCCGTGAGTCCCCTCGTGAAGCCTGAGTATGGTGAGGTCGCAGGTTCGATTCTGCCGATAACAAAAATTAAAAGAATTTTACTGCAGATACTACTACCAATAGTGTGAAGGTACAGGGATTAGTGTAGGCTGGACTGCATCATGATGAATTAGTATATACCGGTCGGCGGCATATTTTAACAAAGGGTCATGGTATCCTCCTAGCATTCCCTATGAGGCCATTGGGAAGCCTATTGTCCTGTCTGGATGGTCACTGCTTGCATACCATCTAGGTGAGCTCTTGTCTTGGTGGTCACTCTACAATACCACTAAGGGTGTGGTAAACTTTACTGTGGAGGTTTACTACGCCAGATGGTCCTCATAGATGGTAAAGTCTCAAGTGCAATGTCTTAGCAATAGTTTACCTTCTAATAGGTTTAGGCTGATTGGAGATGTTCGTAGGCTTACAGGTATACCCTATAAAAAGTATTTATATTTAAAATATAATTAAAAACTTTTTAAAATATATTTAAATTATACTTAAAATATATTTAATTTAAAAATTGCGAAATACTTATAATATACTTAAAATGTATTTAAAATTATCTTAAAATATATTTCTAATATATTTAATTTTTGCCAAAATACTTAAAATATACTTAAATTATACTTAAATCAAAATTTAAGTATATTATAAATATATTTTTTACATACTTAAAATATACTTATAATATATTCTATAATATATTTTAAGTATATTTTAAATACATAAAAAATATACTTATAATAGTCTTATAATATACTTAAATTTTAATTCAAATATAATTTAAATATATTTTAAGTATATGGGCAAAAATTAAATATATTAGACATATGTTTTAAGATAATTTTAAGTATATTTTAGATATACTATTAAAAATATATTTTAAGTATTTTGCAATTTTTAAATTAAGTATATTTTAAATAGAAAATTTATAAATGTACACGTAGTGTGTAGACATGTACCACGTGATATATGTTCGCGTCATGATAAATATAGCTGCTGCGCCAATAGCGATACATTTATTTACGTCATACGATGGAATTATTTACGTCATAGTCATAAGGTCCTATTGTTAAAATTACAATTGTTCTTCTCTCTTGCTTTTTATCTAACCTTTTGGTATAATCAAGATGAATAAAACAGAACAAGAAAATGTTAGTTATGGTGAACAATATGATGCTTCGCTTTCAATATAACTTACATAATTTTCTTCTGTTGTATATCGTTATGTTTTCTCTATCTTCTGTTACATGTTCCCTCTTTCCTTCGTTATATATGTTTTCTCTATCTTTGTTGTATATGTTTCTTCTATCTTATTTGTTATCAATCATCTAATTAAAGAATCAGCCTAACAGCTTAATGAAACGAACTCAAATTCATTTGTTGATAATGTAATAGACCCAAAATCATTCGTTGATAATGATATGGACCCGAAATCATTCATTGATGACGAAACAGATGAGTCTGATAGACCAGATGAGCCATCCGATTCTTTGGAATTAACCTCTGAGCTTACTTTTACCGACTGGGAAGACTTCAAAAGTTGGTTACATAGGTTTGCGTCAAAAGAGGGTTTCAGTTATAAGATCAGAACAAGTGAAACTATTCAAGGTGTAATGCGAAGGGCCACTTACGAATGCGCAAAATCTGGGTCTCATAATCCACAAACTACATCGGATTCAACAAAGCAACGCAATGCTTATTCCCAACAAATACTATGCCCTTGGAAACTTAACGTCACTCATCCGAAAACAGGAGTTGTAAAAGTAAACTCGTTTAATAACGAACATAATCATCTGCTTATCCCGATAATTCAAAAAATAGCTCCGCAGTTTCGGAAGTTGACAAAGGAAATGTTGGCTGATATAGAGAAGTACGTCATTAAAGGGCGAATGGATTCGGTATCTATATATCCCCTATTAAGGCATGACTATCCAGATCAGCCTATTCACAAAAAAAAATTGTATAACGCGGTTTATCAGTTTCGACAAAAACATAATCTGGGAGATGAGGATACCCCTCAGATGCTCCAACGATTGATGGACTGGAAGAACTTGGAGCCGCTTTGGGTTGTAAAGACTCGATTAGATCCAATCTCGAGGAGGTTGATTTCTTTTTTATGGATGTCACCTACACAAAGAGAGTTATATAGTAAGCACAATGATGTCGTTATAGTTGATAGCACCTATAACACAAACTGATTTCAAATGATCCTTTGTATCGTAACCATAATCGATAATAACTACAAAACCAGGATCGTAGCGTGCGCAATAATTGAGGACGAAATACTAGATACTTATCGGTGGATATTCGATAGTATATTTAACGAAACGGGTGTTTCTCCGGGAGTCATTTTTTCTGATTCCGATCCTTCTTTGGTTCGTTCGATCAAGGATATTATTCCAATGCTCTGCACCTGCTGTGCATATTTCATATAGATCTGAACCTTCGGAAAAAGCTTAAAGGAAATCTAGGTAGTCAGTTCAAGGAATTCCATCGTAAATTTTATGTATGTTGGAATTCTCTTTGCGAAGAATTATTCGAACTTCGATGGAAACAATTAGTTAAACAATATCCAGTAGCGGTTAAGTACTTGACTGATACCCTGTATAGTACTAAGAATTCGTGGGCGGTACCTTGGATTCGTAACAGATTTACCGCCAGTGCTCAAAGCACACAGCGAATTGAATCTATAAATAGTCATATGCACGGCAAAGTAGATCGTTCTACATCGTTATGCAATCTGTTGGTTAGTATTAATGATCACGTTAAGAATGACGAACATTTCGAGCAATTCGAAATTGAACGAGATGCCTTACCAACGGTTGGTATGCCGATGCTGAATACCAGATTCTTCAATCAAGTGGATGTTATTATCAAAGAATTTTTAACTCCAACAATGCTCGGGAAATAAAGAAGTCAAATGAATCAATCTGTGTGTTATGATATTAGTCAGATCACGGATTGGCGTCATTTGATGGAGGTAGATAATCATTTCGAAATTTATTCGAGATAGGATATAACCTTGCGAAGGGCAAGTTACAAAATTTGGATCTACTAATCTCATTGTTTTTGATCGATTTCTACGTTTCCTACGATTATAGATAGAAACCGATAATGAAGAAATAAGTATAAGAATCAGAGAACAAGAGCAAGATACAAGACAAATCCTTTTGCGATCGTTGGTTTCAACTATACCGATGGAAGCAATCCTCGAAGTATGGAACGTACGAGCGACCGGCATACGGAGAATCAGACATTACGTAATTCTACTCAATGAAGGCACGCATTTATGCACTTATCTTCTTTTAATTAATAAGGGATTGGTATGTCGGCACTTTTTCTGTGTTGGTACCTACTCTAGATTCGCCACCTTCCACATATGTATGATTCCGAATCGATGGTATATAAATCCTGATGTTGAACCGAACGATCTCCTACAACAATATTCTTTTATCCCAGTATGTGATAAGATACAATCGGAAGATAACATACCATTCAAAAATCCTATCACTTTCCAACATTTCTTTTCTATTCAGATTGATTCACACGGCTCTCAACCATCCCAACCAGCCGTAAACTCGCCTAAAGCTATGTACGCAGAATTGGCTGGATTATCGAAAAAGGCTATTGACTGTGCCCTTAAAAGTGATAAGCAACAAGAATTGTTAAATATTTTCAAGGCCTTTATTTATGATGTAAAGAGCGGACTGGAACCGGAAAACTTTACTGATGTTATTAATCCCGTTGTTATTAAGCATAAGGGTCGGCCACCGAAAAGGCTAATATCAAGCATTGAAAAGTTTTAAATAGAGAAAAATGGGTTCTAAAAGATGTTAGCAATAGTAATGTAATAGAAGACAACAATACTTCAAATATTGTAGAAGACTTTACAAATGATACAAAAGGTCAAAAGTGCAGTAAATGTAAGCAGTATGGGCATTACGCGAAGACATGTCAAAATGTTAATTAACATTTAGGCGCATTTATTTAGGCGCGCATTTATTTAGGCGCATTTTATTGTAATTGGTTAATTGATTTTACATAATAAAAATTGATCGCAGTTTAAAGTCACATGATATAAAATATATTAAGTCACGTGATACGTGTCCACACACTACGTGTACAAATAGAAATCGCCTTAAAACAATTTATTAATTTAAGAGTTTACATATTTTATTAATTAAAAATGTTCATTTTTTAACAGTAAGATGAGAAATCTAAATAAAAAAAATTATAAAGCAAGGAATAAAGTAACATAAAAAATAAAGAAATGATTAAAAAGAATGAAAAGGGTGAAAAGAAAACAAAAAATGTAAAGATGGATTGAAAAGGATAAAAAAAAAGTAAAAAGAAATGAAAAGAATGAAAGAAAATAAAAAAAAAGGGAAAAATGATGGAAAAATGAAAAGAAAAAAAATAATAACGAAAAGGTGAAAAGTGAGAAAAATAATAATGAAGAAAGGAGTAAAACAAAAAGAACAAAAAAAAAGGAAAAAACAAAAGAGAAACAAAAAAGAAAGGAAAAAAAAAAATCAGAAGGCAAAAAGGAAAAGAAGACAAAAGAAAACGAAAAAAAAAGGTATAAAAAAGGAAAACTAATGAAAAGGCAAAAAGAAAGAGGAAAAATTAAAAAAGAAGGAGAATAACAATAAGGAAATAAAAAGGAGAAGATAACAATGTAAAGATGGTCATCGGTCCTACCGGTCCTACTCGGTCCTAGACCGGTCAGTCCTAGCATTGGTAAAAAAATGGTTTATCCTACACATATCCTACACATATCTTACATATATCGGGTACTCAAAATGTAGAAAATCATACACAAATAATACACATATCATACACATATCGGGTACTTATATATATAGTATACCTATCAGGTACCTGATATATGTATGATATATATATTAGTACCCGATATGTGTATGATATGTGTATTATTTGTGTATGATTTTCTACATTTTGAGTACCCAATATGTGTAAGATATGTGTAGGATAAATCATTTTTTTACCAGTGTAGGACTTGTAGGACCGGACCGCGGTCTTTCATTTTTACTTGACGCAGTAGGACCGGTCCTGAGACTGACCCAGTCTTTGTATCAGTCTTTATATATATAAGTGATTTTTATAATAATAACGTTATTAATCTAATAATCTAATGATGATCTTTATAAAAACTAACTCACAAAACGATAAATAAATTGATCTACATCATGATTGTCAAATTCTTACTATAATTTCTTAATGTCGTAATGCCGGCCAAAATTACCAAAACAATCATTTTTCCCACTTACACGCCTATTGAAAAATCCAAAAAAAAAGATAGCCTTCTTCCAAGCATTTTATATATAAAACTCTTAAAAAAAAAACAAAAGTAACGAATTTGACATATTTTCATTAACTTATTTCACTCATTTATGTTTATGTGTAAAGGAGGATTTTTCAATTTAATACTTCACTTTTTTTAAGAATGGGTTTCATTTTATAAATGGACACTAATTATTATTAATAATATTTTTTCATTTCTTTTCATTAGCAGCTTTTTTAAAATATTTTAATTCACTTTGAAATTTAATAATTTATTTGCAATCATGTTTTTGTATAAATGTTAATTTTGTAATTTTAATAATCAATTTAATAATAAATACACATGATTTTAAAAAGAATAAAAAGAAAATTGTAAAAATTACATAAAAGAATAAAATAAAAAGTCTTTAATATTTATTCAATTTTCCTTTGTTCTAATCAAGACTTTAAGCATAAGCATGCTCGTGCTGTACTAGCATCAATTCTGTTACATGTTTGACTAAATTGTTTTCCTGCAATTGAAAAAAACTGTTCACAAGGAACAGAAGTTGGCATTATTGCTAAGTAATCTTGCGCCATTCTTGATAATATTGGGTATTCCATAGTATGGTTTTTCCACCATTCTAAAGGAACTATTTCATCACCTGGCGAATTGGAATTAAAATAAAATTCCAATTCATTTGAAATAGGCAGTGGAGTTTGATCTGGCATTAACAAATTGCGAAAAAAATTTCGTGTTTCAGTTGGAGATAAATTTATTAGCTGACGCTGTGAAGTCTGAATAAGTTGAGATGGTATAGAAGTATCATCAGTTGACTCTTCATAATTGGCCATTACTCTACGAATTGGTTCAAGAATATCATTTTGAGACATATTGCCATATGCTAATTTTTTATAGCGAGGATCAAAAAAAGCTGAAACATGTAATGCCTCATTTATTTCATCAAAATAATTTGTAAAAACACGTTTCATTTCATCTATTTGGTTTTGTAAAATAAAATCTTCACCTCGAGGATAATTTAAATGAACTCTAATATATACCTTCAAAAAGTAATTTAACTTCACCAATAGTTGGATAATTAGAAGCAGATATCACCTTTGTTACTGATGCAAAAGGAGCTAATAAATCTGCTAGAATAGTGAGTACATTCCACTCTTCCTTACTTGGCCAATTATTTGATAATAATGATGAAAGATTTGGTACTAAATGAGTCAAAAGAGGCTTAATTTCTAATGCTCGATCTATCATATAGAAAGTATAGTTCCATCTCGTAGCACAATCTGGAAGCGGTGCTTTAAATTTAATTTTTTCAATTTGAAAATATTCCTTTAACTTATTCATCTTCTTTGGTGAATTTCTCACTGTACTAATAAATGCACGTAACTTTTTAACACAATTTGGAACGATACTTGTATTAAGTGCTGCCTCAACAGCCAGATTCAACACATGTGCTGCACAGCGATAATGGCGAAATTCTGATAAATTAAGAGTTTTTTTAATTTGTCGAGTTGCAGCTAACATCTTTGCTTCATTATCACTGGTAATTCCAATTAATCGATTTGCAATATTTAATTCTGAAATAATTTCAACAACTGAATCTTTAATTACTGAAGCAGTATGAGGTGAAGGAACATACAATACATCTAATACAAAGTGATCAAATTGCCAATCATCTTTTATAAAATGAATTGTTACTGCTAAAATTCCTAATGAGGTAATTGTAGACCACATCATCACGAAGTTGATCAAATGTTAGACTTGTATTCATCAAACACAAATTATTTAATAAATGCTTAAATTTTATATTTACTGAATGCTTAATGTTTCATGAACATCTATTTGTATTTAAAATAAGCATTTATTTATCATTGTAATAAATTACAAATTAAATATTAATTATTAAATACTTCATAATTGCTACTTTAACAAAACACTTAAAAAATATTTTAAATTAATACTTATTAATTGCTATGAAAAAAAAAATATCAATTAAACATTTGAATTTATTATTAAAAAAACATAGAATATAAACATTTAGATTTTGTTATTTTTATATTAAGTCTTAGGGGCTTATCTTTGATGTAATAATATAAACTTGTTAAAAAAAAATCATGTCCCAAAATTAGTATTACGCGTATCACGTGATATAGATTAATCTTTTTTTTACAAATTTTTTTTT